AAACGGGAGTCGGCTGTCGGCCATATTGGCGGTGTTGTCTCACAGTGCGAGTTGCTTCTTGTTGCTACCCGTGAGTAATGGTGAATTATTGTAGGATAATCGGTTGTACTAACCGATCTGATAGGGAAAGAGATAGGAAATTTCACCGACTGCCTGCTATTATAACTAATCAGGGAGAGTCTTGTCGAAAATTGTCAGAAGAGAGGAGACGCGGGTGGCTTGCACAGCTAAATCAAGATTTCACCGCCAAAAACGTGGACAACATTCGGGTCTGTTCAGACCATTTCATCTCCGGTAATACGCTTTACTATCCTATGTAGTAATTCTGTAATGCGAAACAAGCAGTGTTTTTGCCTCTGCATGTTGTTTGCTACAAATTGGAGTGTAACAATTTGTTGGGGTTATATATATATCCAGTGTTGTACGTGATATCAGGAGCCTGGTGATATATATACGCTGTGGCTGTATGCCCGGCAGCCGGGCACGGTCTTCGATTTCCTAAAGTTGTGGAAAGTGTTCAAAAAGATAGGTGAGATGTCCATGTAGATAAATAAGTGTTAAAAAGCCCGATCATTTTGCGTTTTGTGAGCGATTTTTCGTGGGACCTTCGGGGACCAGGTGCAGCTCTGCGAAACCTAGCATAAAATGTTATATAGCCCTGCAGCAGTTACTGTACGCTGGGTAGTACGCGGGGTGAGTAGTACAGTACTGATACTACTATACTACTATGATTATGAACTAAATAGTTCAGATGGTCCGTTCCCTAGCAAGGACCGTTTCTTGGAGCTGATCTGATGATCTACGCTGTGGCTATATGCCCGGCAGCCGGGCACGGTCTTCGATTTCCTAAATGCCCGGCAGTTCCTAACCCTAACCCTAACCCTTGTTTACTTGAGATAACGCTGAAAATTAAAAACTGCCGGCCTTTAGGAAATCAAAGACCATGCCCGGCAGCCGTCAGCTATATGCCGGATAGCCACTGAATAATCTACGTAACATTACCGGACGTGTGAAAACGCTACAACAGCACGTACCCCTCCTTTTCATGATACATTTGTGTGTTTACGCATTTGAAAATGAAAAATTACAATTTACAGGGTTCACATTTTATATTACTATATTTATAATTATATTAGCCACTATTTAGTATTTATATCTCAAGCACAGCAGTGCGAGAAGTCCAAGCACCTTAGCTGTAATTACGTTAATAATTGGGTCTTTATGGGGGAATCTTTCAACTATTCAGCAAACACATTTCACTGATTTCAGTTTGTGTTACTATTACGTACCACATTAGCTCTACCGGTGTATATCCCCTTCGCTCCCCACTACAGGTAGCGGGAGTGAAGGGACTATACACCGCATAGTTTTCTGACGTGTTTTAATTAATGATTTTTTTGTAATTTTGTTAGGAAATAAATCTGCATTGTACCCACCTGAACACCCAGACTGGGTTCCCTGTGTGAACGTCGTCCGCAAATCAAACAAATCACCGCAATTGATCAGTCAGCGATACCAGAGGAGATGCGACAGAAAGAGGAAAAATGAAGCACGTAATTTGCTAATTTGGAATCAGCGCGCTTATTTGCACCGCGGCGTGATATTTGCACCGCGGCGATTAGCGAGATATTCGCCTGTGTGAACAACGACACAATTAGCTCACTATTATCTCCGCTATTAGCGGGCTGAGCAGCGCGGGTTTTCTTGTGTGTGAACGCGCCTATTGATATTATGATTACATATGATTAAACAATCAATAAGGTTAATAAGTACAGTCTCTGTTCGTGTGCACAGCAGTCAGTGAGTCACTGCATCTGTCACTGCCGTCCTAACGAATTTATTATTTGCAAACGTATATAACATGCAACACGCGATAAATCTAGTACCTATCATGATCTGTGGGAAACTTATACCTATATTAAAAACGCTATATCTGGGGTTTTCTTCCTTGTATTGAAACAATTTCCCGCACTGCAATAACCGCCAGCTGATACGAAGTGTCCAGTCTGTGTATCCGTTAGTCTGTGATATGGAGAAACATGATGCGTTTTTTAACATTTTTTTATGGAGCGCATTGCTTACGGTAACGTAACATACATACATGTCTGCATGGTCAGGTTGCCTGTTGTTTGTTTTTATGACGTTCATGCATTTACCCACGATTCCAAATTTCTTTAATCAGATTGTACAGATTGGCGGGTTACCAGAGGGAATTTCTGACCTGTATGAGGTCACAGGCTCACGACCAGAGTGCTACTACACCTGGGATAACGCCAGGAACGACAACTTATATTTTCCGCAACGAGTCAAGTCACGTTTTCGGTTCGATCGGTGAGTATATAGCACACCTGCATTCTTATGCAGAGTTTTGTCCCAGATGGTCTACTTTGTATCTATGGTTCATTAATTTGTCTGTGGGGAAAAGAAAAGAGCCACTAACTAAATGCATTTAGTCAGGGGCGGATTAAGGCTCACTGGTGCCCTAAGCACTGACCAATCTTGGTGCCCCCTCCTTTCCACACTGACCCAGTCCATTTTAGTTGTTGACCTGTCTGACCAAATATACAATGCAGGTTGCAGCAGTACAAAAATTTATGTAGGATTTCAAGGAGGGTGGTGATAAACAGGCGGGGGGTATGGGGTCCTCCCCCAGAAATTTTTTAAAATGTAGATCGGAGGAGATGGTATTTGAGGCAATTTTGAGCGTACATGCATGCACAACTTCATTCTGACTACGAGTCAATCTATTTTTTTTTTTTACATGTTTCAGTTGTGAGAAAGACCTCTCTGTTGTGCAGTTGGTGACCATTAATGTTAAAAATATTCTTAAGGCAATTTCAACATTTGGAAAAGCACTCTCTAGTTTGTCTTCTGTAATTGTGTTGTAAAGTTCCATGTGAGTGAAAGATGTTTTCTTAGTTGTTTTAAACTTATGAAGAACATATGAATGGAACTGCTGAAGCTCT